CTCCCGTCTCTAGTTCCAGCTCCTGCCAACCTAGCAGTTCGAAAGCAAGAAATTGCAAGTAGATAAATAGGTACCACTTCGGTGGGAAGGTAACAGCATTCCGTGCGCCTTGGTGTTTAGTCATGCCGGCCACATGACCACGGAAACGTCTTCGGACAGCGCTGGCTCTTTGGCTTTGAAATGGAGATGAGCACCGCAACCCTAGAGTCGGACTCGACTGGCTTTCGAGCAAGGGAACCTTTACCTTTAAACTTAACACAATTCTCTAGGTGAGATCCATACGCATGCCATGACTGGGAGCGAGGAGGGGTTTTGCCTGACGTGAGCTGTGGAAGGGTGGACCACATTGACCAGACTCGGCAGGGTGCTGAAAAGCTGAAAAGTAGGGGAGGCATCAGGGCACAGAAAATGGTCGGGCTGCCTGGTCTTGGAGGTGTCTGTGCGTTAACCTTTGACCTTCCCCCTTCCCCAGCCAGTCGGAGACGAGAGCCAAGCCCGGGTGGTGGAAGTCGTCGGCGAGAAACCAGGTGAGAAGCCGGGGAGAAGGTTCTTCAGCTCCCACTGGGGCAAGGGTGGCGTTGCCCCTGGCGAACGTTCCTCTGCCTTCGAGCTGCCGAACGTCTTTTCCGTTCCCGTCTTCGACCGTTGATCGCCTCCCGCTTTCCTTGTTTCAAAAACAGCTTTTGACTTCAAGGCGAAAGGACACCTGGAAATCGGGGAAAGTCTGGATATCATACGGCAAAGGTTAGTGCGATAGTTGTACTTACAGGGCGGGCCAGCCATCCTAGGACACTGGGCCTTCTGCAGGGAACCCGTTCTGGAAGCAGGTGGGGAAATTCTGCTAAGCCAGAGCGCCACCTGCTGGACGTGAGTTTAGCAGAGATAGAAAAAGGACTTGCATGCTGGTTTATTGTTTTTTCTCCGTGAGGTTCCCCCCCCCCTGACAAAACAAACATAGATTGAGGTTATCTAGGTATTCTTACACATTCTTGTTGACAAAACTCATACCTAATTACGTCTCAATGATATATATTTAAGAACATAAGAGATGCCAAATGTTGGATCAGGCCAAAGGCCCAACCAGTCCAACACTCTGTATCACACAGTGGCCAGAAATACCAGTGCCATCAGGAGGTCCACCAGTGGGGCCAGGACATTAGAAGCCCTCCCACTGTTGACCCCCCCCAGCACCAAGATGACAGAGCATCACTTGCCCCAGAGTCCCTATCTATACCTTGTGGCTAATAGCCACTGATGGACCTCTGTTCCATATGCTTATCTAATTCCCTTTTGAAGCCGTCCATGCTTGTAGCCACCACCACTTCCTGTGGCAGTGAATTCCAAGTGTTAATCACTCTTTGGGTGAAGAAGTACTTCCTCTTATCCATTCTACCCCGACCGCTCAGCAATTTCATGGAGTGCCCACGAGTTCTTGTGTTGTGAGAAAGGGAGAAAAGTACCTCTTTCTCTACCTGCTCTTTCCCATGCATAACCTTGTAAACGTCAATCATGTCACCCCTCAGTCGTCGTTTCTCCAAGCTAAAGAGCCCTAAGCGCCTTAACCTTTCCTCATAGAGAAAGTGTTCCAACCCCTTTATCATTCGAGTTGCCCTTTTCTTGTATTGTTATATACTCTTGCAAGTATATAAAAGTTATAGTTGTATGTACTTGTAAATCTTTAAGTGTCCGTATGTTTTACTTGCTGTGTTCTTCGAGCCATTTATAAAATCTTGACCGAGAATTTTCAAATACTGCCTCTGGTTGTCCTGTCAAAATTACCGTTAGTTTATCTTTCTCGGCAGTTTCCAAAATTTTGCTTAAAATTTCTTCTCTCAAGGGCATTTCTCCTCTCCTCCAATATTTAGCATATAATATTCTCGCTGTTGTTATTACAGGGTTTCTCTTCAGATCGCGTAAATTTTTAACCTTTTGCATGCTGTTTTATTGACACCCAATGCAATCTGGGGGACAAATCGAGCATCCTTCTCCATGAATGTTGCATTGGCTGAATGTTTCATGCTCTCCAGTGGTCCCAGAGACCCTCCCCTCTTGTAACGGGGGGGGGGGATATCTGCTGGAGATAAAAGCGATCTGTTGTCGAAGGCTTTCATGGCTGGAGTTAATTAGTTGTTGTGGATTGTCCAGGTTGTACGGCTGTGGTTTTGGCACTGTAGGACCTACCCCACCTTCCTGAGTAGATATAAATTACCTGCCTCCCATTTTTCTTCTCGCCTTGACACAGAGAGTACTCCGTCTTTCTGTGTCATACCTCTGAGCAGGGGTCATTTCATAGAAAAAAGAGGTGCAGGAGCTCATTAGCATGACTCAGTAGCATAACATATTTGCATATGCCACACCCCCTGACATCACCGGAAGTGTGTCAGAAGGCAACACCCACCGCTCAGGCTCCGCTGGACTGTTTTGGATCGCTAGCTATTGGGGGGGGGGGAATGTGCAGATCTGCCCTCGCAGAGGAGGGAGAGCTTGTACCTGAATAAAACTTGGCCTTAAAGGTGCCACTGGACTGTTTTGGATTGCTACCTATGGGCGGGGGGGAATGCGCTCGCAGAGGAGGGAGAGCTTGTACCTGAATAAAACTTGGTCTTAAAGGTGCCACTGGACTGTTTTGGATTGCTACCTATGGGCGGGGGGGAATGCGCTCGCAGAGGAGGGAGAGCTTGTACCTGAATAAAACTTGGTCTTAAAGGTGCCACTGGACTGTTTGGGATTGCTAGCTATTGGGGGGGGGAACGCGCAGATCTGCCCTCGCAGAGGAGGGAGAGCTTGTACCTGAATAAAACTTGGTCTTAAAGGTGCCACTGGACTGTTTTGGATTGCTAGCTATTGGGGGTGGGGGGAATGAGCAGATCTGCCCTCACAGAGGAGGGAGAGCTTGTACCTGAAGGCAGGCTGGGGGGGGGGCTCTGCAACCTATCTGGCTGCTTCTTGCTCCTCGTGGCCCGACTGAGGGCTGCTGGGAGCAGGGGCGGGGCTTGTTGCATGTGCCCGCCCCCTGGGCTCCTTACTGCCGGAGCTCTGCTCCTGTGCGCTCCCGCGGGAAATGACCCCTGTGCGTAACTCTAATAGTAACTTCAGGTGGGTAGTCGGGCTGGTCTCGAGCAGCAGAGCAAAGTTTGAGTCCAGTGGCACCCCTAAGACCAGCAAAGTCTTATTCAAGGTATAAGCTTTTGTGCGCTTGCGCACTTTCTGAAGCAAGAAGACGTGTGCGTGCACGTGAAAGTTTATACCTCGAATAAAACTTTGCTGGTCTTAGGGGTGCCACTGGACACCCACATTGTTCTAGTAGTCACTCTTCCACATTTCCAGCAGGAACCCGGTTTAGCAGGGTGCCTTTTAGAATTGTGCTCCAAGGGCAGCTATTGCTGCAGCGGCTCTTTAAAAAACCTGCACAGCCAATGAGAAGCCTTGTTTGGGGCCTGCCAGGTGTCTCGTGGGCACCATGGCTCCTGGGGGCGCCGTGTTGGGGATCCCTGCCTTCAAGCAGCGTCACTTTCGACTTGTGGCAGACCCGGCCGCCCCTGAGAATCTGGAAGGGGAGAAGTCCACCTTTCGGGCGCTTGCGTGAGACCGACATGTGGAGGAGAGAGGTTCGGGCTTAGAGAGGCTTCTGGGGGGGATGACCGAGTACGCATTGTTGAGTGACAGCAAGGACAAAGAGTCCCACCTGACGGGTCCCCCCGCCAAGCCTCTGAGTAGACCTTTTCAGACGCCCACGGGCCGTGGAGCAATCCGTCAGTGGCCATTAGCTGATTGGGAACGCCTTGGATTCCCAGAGCGTTGACGAGCCAAGATAAATATTTGATGGGCGGCTTTTGATTCCCGAGCCCTTTCCCCGAGGCGTCTTTCCAGCATCGGGCTGCTTCCTCTGCCGTTCCGCCAAGGCCTCGGTGAAAGCAGCCGTTTTCAGAAGTGCCGCTCATTGCCTCCTTGCATATGTCAAGGAACAGTGGGTCCAGGTTTCCTGGAAGGCCTCCTACCAGCCGGGGCAGTCATAAGAACATAAGAGACGCCAATGTTGGATCAGGCCAAAGGCCCATCCAGTCCAACACTCTATCACACAGTGGCCAGAAATACCAGGTGCCCTCAGGAGGTCCACCAGTGGGGCCAGGACACCAGAAGCCCTCTCACCGTTCCCCCCCCCAAGCACCCAGAATACAGAGCATCCCTTGCCCCAGACTGAGAGTTCCTATCTATACCTTGTGGCTCATAGCCACTGATGGACCTCTGCTCCATAGAAGAACATAAGAGATGCCAATGTTGGATCAGGCCAAAGGCCCATCCAGTCCAACACTCTGTGTCACACAGTGGCCAGAAATACCAGGTGCCACCAGGAGGTCCACCAGTGGGGCCAGGACATTAGAAGCCCTCCCACTGTTGACCCCCCCAAGCACCAAGAAGACAGAGCATCCCTTGCCCCAGAGTCCCTATCTATACCTTGTGGCTAATAGCCACTGATGGACCTCTGCTCCATATGCTTATCTAATTCCCTCTTGAAGCCGTCCATGCTTGTAGCCGCCACCACTTCCTGTGGCAGTGAATTCCAAGTGTTAATCACTCTTCGGGAGAAGAAGGACTTCCTTTTATCCGTTCTAACCCAACCGCTCAGCAATTTCATGGAGTGCCCATGGGTTCTTGTACTGTGAGAAAGGGACAAAAGTACTTCTTTCTCTACCTGCTCTATCATAATCTTCTTTCTCTACCTGCTCTATCATAATCTTATAAACCTCAGTCATGTCACCCCTCAGTCGTCGTTTCTCCAAGCTAAAGAGCCCTAAGCGCCTTAACCTTTCCTCATAGGAAACCAGTTCACGGAAACCAAGACTGGGAGCTTTGCCAGCCGTGGAAACAGGAAGTGCTGGTGTCCCTCATGGGGTCCTCAAGAGAGGCCAACGATGCCAGCAAGGCCCTTCTCCTGCTCTGTTGTGATATGGCTCTCCAGCTGATGCTGCAGTCCACGGGCTGATACCTAAGGACGTAGGAAGAGCCATCTAGTCCAGCATCCTGTCTCACAGAGGGGCCAGCCAGTTCCCCTGGAGGGCCAGCAGCAGGGCAGAGAGGCTGAGGCCTTCCCCTGAGAAGGACATCAGAAGAGCCCTGCTGGATCAGACCAGTGAGGGTCCATCCAGTCCAGCATCCCGTCTCACACAGGGGCCAGCCAGTTCCTCTGGTGGGCCAACAACAGGGCAGAGAGGCCCAGGCCTTCCCCTGACAGGAACATAAGAAGAGCCCTGCTGGATCAGACCAGTGAGGGTCCATCTAGTCCAGCCTCCTGTCTCACATAGCGGCCGACTGGTTCCCCTGGAGGGCCAACAACATGGCAGAGAGGCCGATGGTTCGATCCCCGGCATCTCCAGTTAAAAGGACCAGGCAGGTGGTGATGGGAAAGACCTGGAGAGTCATGAAGTGGGGCTGTGGCTCAATGGTAGAGCGTCTGCTTGGCAGGCAGAAGGTCCCAGGTTCAATCCCCGGCATCTCCAGCTAAAAGAATTCAGTGCTGGGTGATGTGAAAGACCTCCGCCTGAGACCCTGGAGAGCGGCTGCCAGTCTGAGTCGACAGTAGTGCACTTGGTGGGCCAAGGGTCTGATTCAGTAGAAGGTGTTCACCCTGCTCCATATGCATCATGAGGTTCCTCAGTGGTTCCAGCAGAGTAGGAATGGCTGCCCACCCTTCGAGGTAGGCCGTGTTTCTCTCCCCCATATTCAGTTCAGTTTTTACTCCTCTCAAAGGCTCGGGCAAGCCACAGTTGAAAACAGACAGCACTCCTAATAGCGACAGACAACATGGTGATGTCCTGGCTACTGAATATGAGTCCAGAGGGGAAGATTTTCTGCACATGTTTATGTTATGGGGATTTGAAGGCTCAAGAGCCAGTTTGGTGTAGTGGTTAGGAGCGCGGACTCTCATCCGGGAGAACCCAGTTTGATTCCCCACTCCTCCACTTGCAGCTGCTTGGGTCAGTCACAAGTTCTTTCAGAACTATTCTCTCAAGGTCAGTTCTCAAGAGAGCTCTCTCGGCCCCACCTACCTCACAGGGTGTCTGTTGTGGGGAGGGGAAGGGAAAGCAGTTTGTAAGCCGCTCTGAGACTCCTTTGGGTAGCGAAGGGCGAGGTATAATTCCAATCTCTTCTTCTTCTAGTGAAGTTTGTGGCTGAGATGGATTTGAACATAGGTCAGCTATGATGTTGCATTCGTTGTGTCAAAGGTTGCCACTTCAGAGGGGCCGTGGCTCAGTGGCAGAGCATCTGCTCGTCAAGCAGAAGGTCCCAGGTTCGATCCCTGCCATCTCCAGTTAAAGGGATCAGGTAGTCAGTGATGTGAAGGACCTCCGCCTGAGACCCTGGAGAGCCATGAAGAGGAGCTGTGGCTCAGTGGTAGAACATCTTCTTAGCGTGCAGAAGGTCCCAGGTTCAATCCCCGGCATCTCCAGTTGAAAAAACCAGGCAGGAAGTGATGTGAAAGACCTCTGCCTGAGACCCTGGAGAGCCATGAAGTGGGGCTGTAGCTCAGTGGTAGAGTGTCTGCCTGGCATGCAGAAGGTCCCAGGTTCAATCCCCAGCATCTCCAGTTAAAAGGGACCAGTCAGTAGGTTATGGGAAAGACCTCTGCTTGAGACCCTGGAGAGTCATGGAGTGGGGCTGTAGCTCAGTGGAAGAGCCTCTGCTTGGCATGCAGAAGGTCCCTGGTTCAATCCCCGGCATCTCCAGTCAAAAGGATCAGGCAACAGTTGATGGGAAATACCTCCGTCTGAGACCCTGGAGAGCCATGAAGTGGGGCTGTAGCTCAGTGGCAGAGCCTCTGCTTGGCATGCAGAAGGTCCCAGGTTCAATCCCCGGCATCTCTGGTCAAAAGGACCAGGCAGGAGGTGATGGGAAAGACCTCCGCCTGAGACCCTGGAGAGCCATGAAGTGGGGCTGTAGCTCAGTGGCAGAGCCTCTGCTTGGCATGCAGAAGGTCCCAGGTTCAATCCCCGGCATCTCCAGTCAAAAGGACCAAGCAGGAGATGATGGGAAAGACCTCTGCCTGAGACCCTGGAGAGCCATGAAGTGGGGCTGTAGCTCAGTGGCAGAGCCTCTGCTTGGCATGCAGAAGGTCCCAGGTTCAATCCCCGGCATCTCCAGTCAAAAGGACCAGGCAGGAGGTGACGTGAAAGACCTCCGCCTGAGACTCTGGAGAGCTGTAAAGAGGGGCTGTGGCTCAATCGAAGAGCCTCTGCTTGGCATGCAGAAGGTCCCAGGTTCAATCCCCAGCATCTCCAGTCAAAAGGACCAGGCAGGAGGTGACGTGAAAGACCTCCGCCTGAGACCCTGGAGAGCCGATGCCAGTCTGAGCAGACAATACTGACTTTGATGGACCAAGGGTCAGATTCAGTAGAAGGCAGGTTCATGTGTAAGCCAAACTCTGACTTTTCCCGCAGCTGGAAGGAACAAAAAGGCCTTGCGTTCCTGGCTTGTCCGTGCGAATGAGGCAAGCTACGTGTTTGCAAAGGCATTTTCCCACATCGTCGAGAGGTCTTGATTTTTCTCTCTCTCCCCCCCCCCTCTGCTTTTCGCAGGCGCCTGTCCCACATCTCAGGCTACCGGTCGTACTATCTCCGGGGCGCGGGGGCCCTCCTCCAGCAGGCCTTGGTGCAGTTCACTCTCAGCAAGCTGGTGAAAAAGGTACCACGAACGTGGGTTTAACTGGCAAACTGCAGAGTGCGTCCTCGGAACCCCGGTTTTGCGCTGTTGCTGAAGGAGGCTTGCTGGGTCACAGGGTGGCTCATCTGATCCGGCGCTCCCTGCAAGAGTCCCGGTGGCCAGCTGGTATTGGTTGGTCCACCCGGAATTGGCTGCCCATCCGCTGCCCTTCCCAGTATTGGGTCTCTAGAAACCAGGAATCCAGGCTCTTCCCCTCATCAGAACACCGGAAGAGCCCTGCTGGATCAGACCAGTGAGGGTCCATCTAGACCAGCATCCTGTCTCTCACACAGTGGCCAACCAGTTACTCTGAAGGGCCAACAACAGGGCAGAGAGGCCGAGGCCTTCCCCTGATAAGAACATCAGAGGAGCCCAGCTGGATCAGACCAGTGAGGGCCCATCTAGACCAGCATCCTGTCTCTCACACAGTGGCCAACCAGTTACTCTGGAGGGCCAACCACAGGGCAGAGAGGCCAAGGCCTTCATAAGAATATCAGAAGAGCCCTGCTGGGTCAGACCAGTGAAGGTCCATCTAGTCCAGCATCCCGTCCCACACTCTGGCCGACCAGTTCCTCTGGAGGGCCAACAACAGGGCAGAGAGGTCGAGGCCTTCATAACAACCTCAGAAGAGCCCTGCTGGGTCAGACCAATGGTCCATCTAGTCCAGCATCCTGTCTCACACTCTGGCCAGTCAGTTCCCCTGGAGGGCCAACAAATAGACCTTCTGCTGATGATGCCTCCTGGCTCTGGGATTCAGAGGTTGACTGCCTCTGAATGTGGAAGTTCCAATTAGTCACCATTATGCCCGTGGCCAGGACATTTTTATTGGGGGGGAGGAACCAACGCTCTCTCTAAGCTGTGGAGTCTTGTGAGCAAAAATTCTACTTTGTGAGCTCCTGGCATTAAAGTTGTGAGTGAGCGATTTGGCCACTGCATCCATCAGTTTGTTCTGGAGCCCTCCTTTCCTGAGCTAAGGCAAAAATGTGTGAGCCAGAGGCTAAAAAACACACTAACTCAGCTTAGAGGGAACACTGGGGAGGATGTTGGGGGCACTTCACTGCCTATGTCACTGGCGGTGTGGGGCAGCTCGAGGCCGGCACTTTAAAGAGACTGGGATCCTCCCAGGAAGGGCTTGGGGTTATCCATGGGGGGCACTGCCTCCAAAATCTCCCCCACCCCCGGCTACGGGCATGGTCACTGATAGATCTGTCTTCCATGAATCTGTCTAATCTCTTTATGCCTATTGCCATCCCTCTCCCTAGCTAGGTCACTGGTTTGCTGACCGAATTTCCTCTTAAGGGGGGTTGGGGGAGGGGGGGTTGAGAAGCACCCTTTTGGACTTCTCTGGCGGCTGCATGTCAGAGGGCGCGTCTCACTCAGCCGGCACGGCTCTTACGCCTCCCCCTCTTCCCACAGGGCTTCATTCCGATGGTGGTCCCCGACCTACTCAAAGGAGCCGTCTTTGTAAGTCTTGTCTTCATTTCCCGTGCTTCGAAAACCTCCTTGCAAGCTCGCCCTTTACAGCGGTGGTGGCCGAATGAGTTTTAGACAAGGGTTGCGCGTTGGACGGTGCATCCTGGAGCCCGTGTGATCCCTTCTGTGTCCGTGGAGCCAGAGGACAGACGGCAGAGCCACACAGCTCTACCTCCGTGCCGGTCGGGCCTCTCCCCTTCTGTCCACTGTCCTTCCCCCGCTGCCCGTGTGTTGCGCAAATAGATCCCCAAGTCAAAATGAGGAGGAATGTTCATTGATTATTTAATGGCAGTTAAACTGTTGAAAAGGGTGAGGCCCAACCAGCCTATCAGAAATCGACCGATCTCTGAGCAATGTCAGGAAGAATGGGAGATTTTATAGCCCAAGTGACATCGGATGACAGAGGTAAAAAGAGAACAGCCAGAAATCATAACTGGTCACAAAATGTCAGAGCATCATCTGCGTAGCCGTTTTTTCATTGGTCAGTTACAGGAAAAGGTGTGCCTACGCAGGTTGGTGCAGTGGTTAAGTGCGCGGACTCTAATCTGGGAGAACCGTGTTGGATTCCCCACTCCTCCACTTGCACCTGGCTGGATGACCTTGGGCAAGCCATAGTTCTGGCACAGCTGTTCTTGAAAAAGAGCAGTTTCTGTCAGAGCTCTCTCAGCCCCACCTACCTCACAAGGGTGTCTGTTGTGGGGAGGGGAAGGGAAAGGAGTTTGTCAGCCGCTCTGAGACACCTTCAGGTAGTGAAGGGCGGGGTATAAATCCAATCTCTTCTTTTTCTTCTTCTATCTTGAATGTTTATTTAACCTAATCTTATTAATATTACTCAAGGATTCTTCATACCCAAACAGAAGGTGTTGTTTTCTGATATGAAATTAAAGCTCTTGTTGACCCAGACACTGCAGTTTTTTTTACCCCAATCAACTAGAGCCATGGATTCTGTACTCCAGGCAAATACATCAATTGAAAAACCCATCTTCTGCTGTACTAGCAATACTGCACTCAAAATCTGTTAGAAACACCAGACAGCTAGATAGCGATTTCATCCAAACAACTTAAAGGGGTGTGGGGGGTGTTCCTTCATCAGCGAAAAAGACACTCTAACCTATAAAAGAGAGGCCTTACCACTTAATAGGCTTTTATTAAGTCCTAATAAAATCTCCATAAAACCAGAAAAAATATAAGTATATGAACTGAATGAAAAAAACCCACATTATGCTACATGTGTCCCGGGGAGATAGATTCAGGCGGGTTGGCCGTGTTGGTCCGAAGCAGCAGAACGAAGGCCAGTGGCACCTTTAAGACCAACAAAGTTTTATTCTGGGCATAAGCTTTCATGCGCGCACACTTCCTCAGATACATCGAAATGGAAATGACCAGTCCCTACATATAGGTGGAGGGTGAGCAGCAAATTACCATACAGCATAATTAAGGCGTTTAACAGATCCGAGGACCAAACAGGAATAACAAGCTTAGTTGATATGCTGACCATTTGTTTGGGTTTAATTTGGGGGGGGGTGACATAGTGAAGGAAATAAATACGTCAAAATTGGAGACTGATGGGCAGATGTATCCTTAATTGTGGAATGCTGAGAGCAGTTAACTGAGACCCTGCCATTACGCTCCTTCCATTTCCTCTCAAACATGGAGGCGACCTTGACAGGGTCTAATTACTCTCAGCATCCCGCAGTTAAGGATACATCAATCTCCAATTCCAACATTTTCGTCTTCTTGCTATATTTTCCCCCAGGAGTCGAACCCAAACTGACGATAGCCGCATAAACTAAGCTTGCTACTCTTTTAATCGGTTAAAAACATCTTCATTGTTCTGTGAGCTGATTTCCTGCCCACCCCCTCTCTATATATGACTGTCATCTCTGTTCCCATTTCACTGTATCTGAGGAAGTGTGCCTGCACACGAAAGCTTTATATTTTAAAGGTAGGGACTGGATGAGATCGGGCTAAGCAGGGCCGACCCTGGCAAGTGCTTGGAAGGGCGACCTCAAAGGAATACCAGGGCCAGGACGCAGAGGCAGGCAAATATCAAGCCACCTCTCTGAAATGCCCTATTCCCACTAGGGGTCGCCAGAAGTCACCATGACTTCCAGGCATGCAGGTACGTGCACACACACACACACAAATACCAAAAGAAAAGAAATCGACCGCTTCTCCCGTCTACCCATTGAACCTCTCCAGCCAGCTTAACAAACCTCGCTGTTGGCATCCCGTCCCAGGGTGGTTCACTAATCGCACCGGAACAGGGTTCGAGTGCCACCAATAACTACAGTCCCCTAAAGGTGCAGACCACCGCTCCCTCTAAGCGGTGGAGTCTTGCGAGCAAAAATTCTACTTTGTGAGCGACGGGCATTGAAGCTGTGAGCGAGCGATTCGACTGCTGCATAAATTAGTTTGCCCTGGAGCCATCCCTTCCTGAGCTAAGGCAAAAATGTGTGAGCCGGAGGCTGAAAACCTGTGAGCTAGCTCACACTAGCTTAGGTTAATAATAATAATAATAATAATAATACTTTCCATTTATTAATCGCTTTCCCCAGTGGGCTCAAAGCGATGTACAGTTACTCCATATATAGACAAGGGCCTAACAATGTTCGTAGGGGATAGGGAAGACAACATATATTCACTTTAATTGCACGCGCTGTCACTGCCCGGTGTAGACGTCTTCTGGCTTGGCTCCGTCATTTTCCCACACGGCTGCTTGCTGGCCAGGCCTCAGGACCCTTATGTCAATCGCCACACTGCCACCGCCTGGCCGGAACATCCATTGCAGGCGTTCTTTTTGTAGCCGGGAAGCTGTTTCGCCTTTACAAGCCTTGACCAGGACCGTCCGACCGTCAGCTAACGCCCTCCCACAGGGAGGTTGGCGTGCCCACCCTCTCTAAGGAGTGGTTCCCATTTTATCTACTCGCCGAAGCTTTCGAATCGCTGGGTGAACGATGAGCTGGGGACAACAGGCTGGCTGCTCACACCAGCGCGGGGCTTGAACCAACACAGTTCAGATGTTAAGACAGTGGGATATACCCACTGTGAACACTGCTGCAGACCGTGTCTCCCACGCTTGATGTCTGTACCCTCTGTTTGTGCATGTACTAATATGGGTGTCCTTCTGCTCCCAGGAAGGTTGCGGCATGCTTCCTGATGCCAGCTCCTCTGCGGTGTACAACATAGACCCTTCTCGCTTCGAAGACCTGAGTCTGGCGGGCACCTCTGAGGTTGGAATTGCAGGTAGGGTGGAAGAGGGTGGTGGTCTTGGCAGTGCGCACGGGAGGGAGTCTTGAAGGAGGCAATGCTCCCGCTAAGCCGGGGAGTCCTGTGAGCAAATATTCTACTTGGTGAGCTCCTGGGATTCAAGTTGTGAGCGAGCCATTTGGCTACTGCACAAATTAGTTTGCCCTGGAGCCCTCTGTCCTGAGCGAAGACCGAAATGTGTGAGCTGGAGGCTAAGAAACTGTGAGCTAGCTCACACCCACTCAGCTTAGAGGGACCCTGATCTAGATTTCTTGCATTCCTAAATCGCAACTTGAGAGGGGGAACATCTAGAGCAGGGATCCCCAGCCTTTTTGAGCCTGAGGGCCCATTTGGAATTCTGGCACAGCATGGTGGGGGCCGCCACAAAATGGCTGCCGAAGGAGGTGGGGCCAGCCACAAAATGGCTGCCATGGAAGGCGGAGCCAGCCATAAAATGATTCCCACAGTCACACTTCAGTCACACGGTTGCCAAACCAACATTTTTAAAAAAAACTGCACAGCCAGTCAAATCTCCAATAGCCAATCAGAAGCCTTGCCGGGCAAAAGCCGTACCTGGCCACACCCACTTCCTAAAAAACACTTGGCAGGTTCCAGAAAAGGTGTCGGCAGGTGCCATGGCACCCACAGGCACCGTGTTGGGGACCGCTGATGTACAGGCTTCACCAAAGAAGTGGCCTTCAGTTCAATCCCCGGCATCTCCAGTTAAAAGGACCAGGCAGGAGGGGTTGGGAAAGACCTCCACCTGAGACCCTGGAGAGTCCCTGGCATCTCCAGTTAAAAGGGACCAGGCAGGAGGAGATGGGAAAGACCTCTGCCTGAGACCCTGGAGAGCTGTAAAGAGGAGCTGTGGCTCAGTGGCAGAGCATCTGCCTTGCATGCAGAAGGTCCCAGGTTCAGTCCCTGGCATCTCCAGTTAAAAGGGACCAAGCAGGAGGTGATGTGAAAGACCTCCGCCTGAGACCCTGGAGAGCTGCTTCTAACCGGAGTAGGCAATACTAACTTGGATGAACTGATGGTCTGATTCTGTATAAGGCAGCTTCATGTGTTTATTGGGGAGGGACTCTGGCTCAGTGGCAGAGCACCTGCTTGGCACGCAGAAGGTCCCTGGTTCAATCCCCGGCATCTTCAGTTGAAAGGGACCCGACAGGAGGTGATGTGAAAGACCTCTGCCTGAGACCCTGTAGTGTTGCTGCCAGTCTGAGTAGGCAGTACTGACCATGATAGACCAAAGGTCTGATTCAGTATAAGACAGCTTCATGTATGTTCATGTTTGGGGAGGGTTCATGGCTCGCTTGTAGAACATCTGCTTGGCAGGCAGAAGGTCCCAGGTTCAGTCCCCGGCATCTCCAATTAAAAGGACCAGGCAGGAGGTGATGGGAAAAACCTCCGCCTGAGACCTTGGAGAGCCACTGCCAGTCTGAGTAGACAATAACTGACCCTGATCAACCGATGGTCTGTCACAGTATAAGGCAGCTTCATATGTGTGTCCCTGTTCTTCACATAAATACCTTTTCTCTGCTCTGTCCCGACCAGGTTACTTCATGGATCATGCCGTAAATCTAGAAGACATGCCGGTCAGGTAAAGATGTTTCTCTTCCTCTTGGAAGGACGTTCCGAGCTACTCTGCCCGTTCTCAACATTTTGACCATAATAGAACTTTGGCTGCAGAATATCTAGATGCTCAAGGGGTCCAGTGTTGAGTTGGGTGCCCAGGAAATTTCCACGAGAATGAAATTTAGCATTTGTTTGGCACTTTCCAAATGTCCAGAGCGCTTCAGGAATGTTGTTTTCCGGTGCCTTGTCAGCCCAGCCGAGCGCTTGGCCTCTCTCCCTTTCTCTCCAAGAGGAACTGTGGGGCTTGACTGTAGGCTGGGCTAATATTCCGCACAGAGACGAGCCAGATTCTGTGGTGTGAGGCTGGCATAATGTCAGACTTGGAATTCTAGCTCGAACAAGGGAAGAAGAAGAAGAGAAGAAGAAGAAGAGGAGGAGGAGGAGAAGAAGAGGGAAGAAGGAGAAGAAGAGGGAAGAAGAAGAAGAAGAGGAAAGAAGAAGAAGAAGAAGAAGAGGAGGAGGAGGAGGAGGAGACGACGACGACGACGACGACGACTGGATTTATACCTCGCCCTTCACTTGGAGTCTCAGAGCAGCTTACAAACTCCTTTCCCTTCCCCTCCCCAAAACAGACAACCTGTGAGGTAAAGGAAGAAGAAGAGGAGATTGGATTTATACCCCACCCTTCACTACCCAAAGGTGTCTCAGAGCGGCTTACAAACTCCTTTCCCTTCCCCTCCCCACAACAGACACCCTGTGAGGTAAAGGAAGAAGAAGAGGAGATTGGATTTATACCCCACCCTTCACTACCCAAAGGTGTCTCAGAGCGGCTTACAAACTCCTTTCCCTTCCCCTCCCCACAACAGACACCCTGTGAGGTAAAGGAAGAAGAAGAGGAGATTGGATTTATACCCCACCCTTCACTACCCAAAGGTGTCTCAGAGCGGCTTACAAACTCCTTTCCCTTCCCCTCCCCACAACAGACACCCTGTGAGGTAAATTCCCTTCCCCTCCCCACAACAGACACCCTGCGAGGTGGGTGGGGCTGAGAGAACTCTGACACAAACTGCTCTTTCAGGAACAGCTGTGCCAGAGCTTGTAACTGACCCAAGGTCACATCAGCAGGTGCAAGTGGAGGAGTGGGGAATCAAACCCGGTTCTCCCAGATTAGAGTCCGCACACTTAACCACTACACCAAACTGGGTACTGTTAGCAAGCCGCCATAGTCCAGACTGATATGGTGTCCGATGCTCCCTCTAAGCTGTCGAGTCTTGTGAGCAAAAATACTACTTTGTGAGCTACTGGCGTTAAAGTTGTGAGCGAGCCATTTGGCTACTGCATCAATTCCTTTGCTCTGGAGCCCTCCTTCCTGAGCTGAGACAGAAATGTGTAAGCCGGAGGCTAAGAAATCGTGAGCTGGCTCACACTCACTCAGCTTACAGGGTAGATCAAGGGAGAGGTAGCCATGTTGGTCCAAAGCCGTGTGCCTGCACACGAAAGCTCGCACCTTGAATAAAACTTTGTTGGTCTTAAAGGTGCCGCTGGCCTCCAAGTTTGTTGTTCAGCTTACAGGGAACACTGATC